GAATCTGTTTATTAGACAGAGAAGAAAAGAGAAGAAAAACAAACGTTTCATTGTGGAGGTAATCCTATTGTTTCCATAAAAACGTTACAAAAAGAGTAAAACTTACAGATGCATTCGGTGTTTTTATAAAAGCGTTTTTCAGGTATTACTTAACTTAATAAATGGTGTTTCTTAATACTTTGGCAAGGAAAATCAAACTCGATCGAGAGATTTGCTGATGTTTTTTGCAGTCTACAGGTAATAACCTTCAACCTGCTGTATAATTAACCGTATCGTTCAACTTTCAAAAATAAACTAACAGTTGCTATAAATCGCGATCGCACGATGTACATGTAATAAGGACCTTATTCTCAGTTCTTTGAAGTTAGTGTTCTAAGTATTGTCAATGCTTTGGTAAATAATAATAAGAATTCGATATAATCGTTATAATAGCCACTCTTCATACACAGCATATTGTCAATCTCTCACCAGGGGGCGTATTAAACAGTATACAAATCATAGGATGCGCTTTGCTGAAGTTACCGTTGTCGATAGGTAGCGCCTTATGGAAGTTTCCGGTTTTGGTTGCAAAAGGATAAGGTTACGTGCGATAAAGCGATGTCGATAGGTAGCGCCTTATGGAAGTTTCCGGTTTTTTGGAGCCCATGCCATAAAGCGGTTAGCTAGCTAACCGCTTAAAAATGACTTTGTATGCCCTAAGTGTCCCTCCACCTTAGAAAACAGACCCAAACATAACTTCTTTTTTTTTTTTTAGCTTCTCAGGAAATTCTGGTCTGGAAACCCCCCTCCCTCCCAGTCCCAGAAAAAAATCCTGGATCTTGTAACTGAATGTAACGTTGATAACAGGGGATAACTCTTCAGAATGTCAAAGCATCGGATGACCTTTGATCCTTTAAACTTGAACCTAACCGTTTGCATTTCAGACTATTTTACCCAAATCTATACCAAAACTTTGTACTTACCGATTGTCATTATTTAGGTCCTGTAATCTTCATGAAATATAATCCAATTAAAACACAAAATGAAATAATTCCTATATGCAATGATGTGTATACCACACTAGTAGCTTACTGCACGTGCAGTGAAATCTAAAAATGATAATGCCAATGGTAAAACTAGTACTTAAGTTGGGTACGTGACGGAAGCCCAATGTGATGCAGGTGTTCAAATACATGTATAGTGCAAGAACAAATTGAAAATTATAACTTACGAAAGATGTTTTATCTTAACTTTCCATCTAGGCCTATTTCCAAAAACAGGCAAATTAGGTGTGTTTGTGTGTGTGTGTGTGTGTGTTGATGGGAGAGGGGTGGGGTTGACTAAATTGATTGTGTATATATGGCAGCTTTCAAGAAGTTTAGAACTGCCTTGTCAAATATAAATAAACTTTGCACATTTTGAAAAATTCATCAAAAACTCTTTACACTAATTTAAATAATATTATTTGTTGATTTATAGATATGAGAAAATAGATTTAAAAAGTTCCAATTATGTGCCAAAAATTTATAACCCCCCCTTTATCAAACCTTATTTACATCATTAATTAATTCTGTTGTTTAATTCAGACTAGTAATGAATTAAGGATATGAAATACTTATTAGATGGAGGCCCATGGGTCACATGGTCACCTGAGCATAATATGCTCAATTTGATAAAACATGTAATATGTAAATTATTGAATTATATTGACTTTTTCCTTGGTAAAGCCCAATATGAAGAAGTGTGCATTTAGAGGCAAACACCTTAGTGCGGGTATTACTGTCTCATGACAGCATCTAGTTGTTAATTGAAATCTACATGTTCATCTCTCTATAAAACAGGCATTGGTTGCTGTAACTTTCACATATTTCAGTTAGTATATTTTTGGGATATTAACAAGTTTTACAGCTACTTTAATGAAGCGTTTAATTTTACTCTAGTTTACTGATTCTTGACCATTCAATTTTAATGCAGTGTCTCGAATAGCCCTTGTTTTCCAGCTTCCCACGATGAAATAATGCGATGAAAAGTGGTCACACAAACTGTTATCAATTCATTAAAGATTCAATAATGAGAGAAAGTCAAGCTTTATGTCATATGACTACTATGTTGTATGCCATCGAGCTAATGACATTATTTATTGAACCTCCCTCGTATTTATGTTTTTTGATTTTGGTAAAATTTTGTGATGCTAAAATATTGTTGCACAGTACTCCTAAATTTTCTCCCTCATCGCTAATAATATCCTTGGAAGGAGTAAAGAAAGAGGTTTGGCAGAACAATTCCTGGAACTTGCTTGGTTTCTTTTCATCTTCGTTAAATAATGATTTTTATAAAGTTTTGGAATCCAGTATAGCTACAGTAATTCAAATTCATTTTGGTTGTTGGGAATGTTAACAACAAATGAGATGCCTGCATATCTTCCTCGTTAACTCTCCTTATTTATATGCATATACAGTGACATTCCGCTATCACCTGCATATCATGTTTATGTCTCCCAACTTATTCCTTAACAAAGAACTTGCTCCGAGTAAAACAAGTCTTTACACCGATCGAGGCAGGCTACGGATAGATGAAGGATAGGGAGATAATGAACAGTATTCAAGATCAAAGTCCATACAACAATACGAAATAGGAGCGGGACAAACACGGACCTCCAAAACATCAGAGGTGGGATCAGGTGCCATGGAGGGTTGAGCATCCCCTGCCTACCGGTCACACCCGCCTTGTACTCCTTGTCATCAACGAGAAATATCGGGAAAATCCGACGTCAATACAGTGCATAAATAATGGACTAACAATTATTACGAAAAACGTCAGTCAGCATTTGACTCAATGATAAATTGTATTTGCTGACAAGGTCATTGTTTCGAACATAGAACCTACAAAATGATTCCTTTAAACAAGACTGCTGATATTCTTGTTTCATCAACTTGTTTGTCAATAATTTACCTCGTTTTAGAAATTGTTCATACTTAGAGCATGCTCTTGCGTAAATCTATTTGACAGGGATTTCAACTTCATTTAAAATCAGCATTTAATTAATAAATTCTTTGGTCGATATAATGACGTTTTAAGCAAATGTAACTTATCAAAGTTTTTTTTTTCTCTTTTGCTGACATGTTTTATACCTCCATGGTACCTTATCACACCTATGATGTTTTGGAGGTCAGTATCTGATTTGCTCCTATTTTGTATTGTTTTATGATCTTGAATACTGTTCGTTATCTCCATATGTTTCACTATGTCCTTGTTTTGTACAGACGGATTGTTCCGTCTGATCAACACACACGGATCACGGAAGGTGTGTAAAAAATGTAATAAAAGTTTTGAGTTTAGATATTCTGATTTACAAAAAAAAAAAAAAAAAAAAAAAAAAACATGGGTTCCCGTGCGCGTGACGCGGATTTATCTTTTGTTGACATTTTTATGCGTAAGTATACGATTCAAAATACTCAAGTGAGGGTTAATGAAGCGCTGTATAACATACATCAGTTTGACTGGATCAATAACATAGTGGTTCATCAGCCGTCCTGTATAACAAAGCACTTGAATATTGATGTAGATGTGTGCAACAGGAGATTAGATTCAATATTACATGGCGGTCGACATGCCTCCCTAAAACTGAGTAGAAATAACCTTTGAAAGCTGTACACTGTATTATTAGACCTATGTTTAAATATGCTTCCGTTAGAACTTTTTTCAATATTTTTATGAAATATGATGAAAACAAGTCTTTCTTTTCTATTGGATAACCGATTAGAAAATAAATCTTGTTTGGATTTCTTGCAAGACTAAATAATTAATGGTCCCTAGAATAAGTCTTATAAGGTAGGGTTCTATTCTGGTTCCTGACTAGATGAAATATTCAATGCATTTTCTTATAACTCTTATAATTAGATGTAAGATATTCAAAAGATCGTATTTTTTTTCTCATCTTATCATAATAGCACAACTTTAATTACATGTATATATCATAATGGTTAATTGAAATCTAGAAGGGACTATATTTTTAGCGGAAATAAATATCGTATGAAAATATCTTCTTTTCCGATTCTCAATAATATTTCAGAACAATGAATTTAGTTTTAATTTTGACTTATCAAAGTTGTAGACTTGAAGAATTTTTCAAATGGTAGTTAAATGAATAATATTAAGAGAATAACGTTATAAAATATATCAAAGTTCTGTGTGATGTGATTTTCGAGACAAATTACAACTATACTAGGCTAACTTTTAAAAGCCTCTACTGTAAGCACAGATATGAGCCAAAAATCGGTAGAAAGAGTTTTCCTCTTTTAGTAAACGATCAAAACGTTTCATTTTTGTACCATTTTATATCTCTATGTGACTTTTTTACCATATTTGAAAATTAAAAAATATCTAGGATGAAAAGAAACATATGCAGATAACGAACAGTATTCAAGCTCAAAAGTCCATTAATAAAATGGGAGCCGAGCAAATACGGACCTCCAAAACATCAGAGATGGGATCAGGTGCCATGGAGGAGTGAGCATCCCCTCCTGACCCTCACGCCCACCCCCTGCTTCTTGTCATGATCGGGAAATAACGGAATATATCCGTCGTCCATTCAGTGTGTAAATAATGGACTAGCTATTAGTGTGAAAAACGTCAGTCAGCATTTGGATGCGTATAAAAATAATGTATCCTAAAAAATAAGAAAAATTGAAAAAAATCGGATTAACTATAAGATCCATATTTACAGATAATGGGAGGTTTTTTTTCCCTTATCAGACAGCAGAAAATATCAACAATATTGCTTCAAATTGAATATTCTATGAAAATACTTTATTTTTTCCTCATAATTCTATTTAATGCAGCGATTCCGCAGCTTTTTTGAGTTTAATTACTTCATATATTATTACATATTTAAAATTGTACAATAAAAACGAAACATCTTATGTACGTTTTGTTAAGCGTTTTGAGTGCGAAGATTCAAACATTTATTTCACCTTGATTATCAACAAAAATGGTGAATGTAGACCAACAACATGGGACATGATTGATTAAAAACTTAAAATATCGTAAAGATGTTGCTAAACCCCGTGAGTTTTGTGGCATTAGTTGTCTCATTACCAGTTACATTTTCACAACTGGTCGTAAATGTTAAAAACAAAGGGGGCGATGTAATAAGAGAAGTTATTTCGGGCAACACGACATCCGATGTAGTGGAGCTGCAATTTCAGAATACAGACGGCACACTCATCAATCAGTTCATCGACTTCAAATCGGTGAGATTATTTTGACTGGGGTCAGCTAGTTGGATTTTTATCTTTAAAGGAAAGAAGACTTGAATAGCACTGTTTTGGTTGAATTCAGGTCACCATTGTCAGGTCCACTATATTTAGCTCTTAGATAAATCTACCTATATAGCTGAAAACTAATACTGCTTCATTATGCGACTCTTTGTATGCTTTTCATAACAGAAACTTACTCTGAAATAGCTAAATAAAGCTATATTATATAGGTAAGTAAAGCTGTAAAGCTAAATATAGTGATTTTCCTGGACCTGATTGTTTTTCTGTGGTGATGCATTGTCAGTTTCTATTGCTGCTTATTCCATTTTACATCACTATACAGCAATGAATTTAAAATTTAATAATTACTAATGTAAATACATATTTAAATAGTAAATGGATTCTAATGACCTATTTGTACCCTGCAGGAAGTGCAGATTTTCCGTGCCTTTGTGCTGAGAGAGGAGGAACTTGGATTCTCCAGAAATAAACCCATCACTTTATGCTTTGTGTCCAGATTTAACAAGAATGAGTTCATTTCTTCTGATGCGATGTCAAAACTCCGACAGGTGGGTTATCTGTTTCACAATTTATTCACATACTAATGCATCTTAGAATTAGTTAGAAACACATGTTTATAAAATTGATTGTATTACCACTACTTCCCTATGCATGATGTAAAAATATGTCTCATGTTATGTCAAAATTCAGGCAGATGGGTTATCTTTTTCTCAGTTCACTCACACATCTCTTTAAATTAGTTGATTTGAACATACACAATGTATTTTATTGTAATTTAATTATGAAGGGATTGGGCACGAATTCTGGAAACTTATAAAACCCTCTCCTCTGAATTAGTTAGAAACACAGCCTTTATAAAATTGATTTCTTAAATCATTCCATGACCACTTCTCTTTGGATATTGTCATATTATTGCAATGTTTTAAAAGGAGAATACTAGATTTGAAATGAAGGCAAAAAGAATTCAAGTAAATGTGTAGACTTAAGTATTATGACTGTAATACATGTAATTATAAGTGAATCTTCTGTCAAGTAAAATTTAGCATTACAATAAAAAAAATTTACTTGTTCAATAGTTTATGAAAAAGTACACAAATTCTGGGACCAAATTTCAAAATATCTTTAAATGAACATAGAATTGATAATTAATTTTATTAATGTTGATTTGTACATGTTTCTATTTATTATGTGTTTTTTTTAATTAAAGAAAAATCCGAGCACGATTCGTAGCCCGGAGGAGGAGAAAGTTCCTGAGATGCACATCATGGATCTACGGATGGACCTGAGAAAAACAAATGTCCTCAGTCCATACATACACAAAGCCTGCCAGGATGCCAATCTGACCACCTACACCAAGGAATCAGACATCAGAATGTGGTCACAAGGTAATTATTCTAAAATGAAAATCACTGAATGACAAAAGTGTGTGCTTAAAGAAAGGGAGGAAATTCAAAACCTTGAAAAAATCTATTCATTCTAAATGAAATTGAATTGTCTTTCCTGGGTAAGAATTGTAGGATTTGGTATTTGTAGCACTGGGTCAGGACTTTGATTTACTGATGTCCACCTCTAAGCAGACCCACCCTGGGAAGTTTGCTAACTGTAAGGACATGGCTAACCTGACGTTGCCCTGTCTGTGTCACTATCACATCTGTGTCGGCTGGTATCCGTGTGGACTGAAGTACTGCCGAGGAAAAGACTCCACGGGTCGATACGTCAGTTATCGCTGTGGGATCAAGACCTGTCGTAGATTTATATCCTATGATTTTGTGGCTGAGAAGAAATATAACTGCTTATGGGATGATGTGTGATATAATGGATTTTGTAAATATATTTAAAATTTTATAAGCTTCCATTTCTGATAGGATTGTCAGGTAAATATTTGATACTAGAAGTCATGTATGCTTTAATGGCTGCTCCTGTATCCACAATTTATTCTACACTCTGTTTATTGCCTTATAAATTGTGAAAACTTTTGTTTTAAATTCAGTTCCTCTACAGTTAACTGGTTTTATTATTGATTTTTACATAATTATTAATTTTTGATTATGTATACACAGTCTATGTTTTACTTTGATGAATGGAAATGAAGATTGATTTATATGATTTTGTGAAAAAAAAGACCATCCTATGTGAGACTCATTCACAAAAGAAAAGTTAAAGTTGCATGTAGTTTTCTTGATAATTCTGGAAAAGCAATTCCCCAAATACAGGATGTGATAATTTTCTGTATATGTATTTGATACTCTTTCAGTTCATCCCAGTATTTTACATGTATATATTAAATGACCAGTTTTTGCTGTTTGAAGAATAATGTAGAAAAATTAGTTGTGAACAAATTTTTGTTGTTTATAATCATGGTGCTACTTGTATTTTGAATTTTTTTTTTTTAAATAACACTTTTATATTTTAGTTTTGTGCATTGTAGTTTGATGAATTATATTTACATTTCAAACCACTTGAAAACCAAAGGAAAACCCACTTGACAGTGTAGTTGTTGTAATTTTTTTTATATAGATGATTACGCATGTCAGTAATTTTAGGCTATACAAAAGGACTTAACATTATGAGAGAAATCTAAAAAGTTTTAGAACATAACCCATTTCTCCATCCAATTACCATTTGCTAGACTTTCTGTTTAGTAAGGCATTTAATCTTTAGGAATTTTCTATGTTTTTAGTGCCATTAAATTTTAATTGACAACTTTGATAAATGAAGACAAATAAGAGAAAAATTGAATTTGCACAGAAATTTATTAGGATTAGCAAATGGGATACAGTAAAACTCGTTTAGTACAAACACGGATATTACGAATACACAGATACATGTATATCAAAGTTATCTTGGATCCCTAACTAAATGAATTCATTGAGTTCCTTGTACAGATATAACGAATTATTGATATAACAAAGTAATTTCATAAGTCCTTGTGACTTCGTTATACTAGTAACCGAGTTTTACTGTATGTTCTATTTAAGTTCATAGTAAGTAAAATGTTAGCATCTAAGAAGGAGTTTGATCATTTCACTGCATCAGCTCCTTCTTAATACCAAAATTTTACTTGGTATGATCTTATCATTACTTAAAATTAGGGATGTCAAAATTGTCAATAATTGATATTCGAATATTCGATAGGAGTATTCGAATATATTTGAATATTCGATAGAATAAACCTATCTTGAATTATATTAGATTTATCTTCACTCTCCTGTCAACCAGTACAGGTTTTATGCAATTATTTTGGAAAACAAACTCATGTCGAGTTTGTCAAATGCATAACAATTATATTTTTTTTAAATGATCAAATATATGATGAGTAAACATAAAAATTGTAACCATTTTTTTTAAATTCAAAAGATTCTTTACCATGTTCCAGATTAATTGATCGTCTTACTAAATTCTACACTGATAGCTGTAAAAAAAATTATACCAAGCAGAACAATTATCCAACGGAGAAAAATTAAAAGCAATTACTTTTTGCTAATTAATTTCCTGATAATGGTTTAATGATATTTACATAAACAAGAGATCCATGTGTTTACTGTCAAACTGTGTCCTACAATACAAGCTGAATGTATGTACTGGACACTATTATACCACTAATTAAGTAAACAAATGAATAAATTACTTTAATAGATACAATCTTCACACCTATAAGGTAATCCAAGAGGAGTGTCTTTTAATTTTGAACAAACTTGATTCAATTTCTAATAAAACTTGCCAGGTTTTTCTCTCTTTTAAAGGCTTGTAAACTGAAAAACGAATATTTGAATAATAAATTTACATTCGAATATCAACTCATCGAATGAATATTCGAATATTCGTTGACATCCCTACTTAAAATGTATCATGTTGATCTATAATATATGTGCCAAATATTGCCTAACTGGTTGTATATGTAAATATTTATGCAATGATTTATGAATTACATGTATATTATACTTTTTATATGCACAAAGTATTAAAATATTGCAGAGAACCCCATGTTTATTGCTTCTAACAAACAATTATTATATTTGAACTTTGGCAACTTGACCTTTTGGTTATATCAAAATCAGAGTTAATTCAAATTATGGGGCCCAAACTAATTCTGAATACACATTTCATTTAGCTGGATATGTTGACGTGTTTGAGAGTCGAATATTTCTAGTTGTCCTTTACTTTTGATAGGTTGACAGTCTTGAAACCAAGTTTGACCACCTGTACATGTACTATAGGAAAACGGCTTTTTCTGTAGTTTTTTTGCTCACCTGAGCCAAAGGCTCAAGTGAGCTTTTCTGATCAAAATTTGTCCGTTGTCTGTCGTCGTCGTTGTAAACTTTTCACATTTTCATCTTCTTCTCAAGAACCACTGGGCCAATTTCAACCAAACTTGCTACAAAGTATCCTTGGGTAAAGGGGATTCAAGTTTGTTCAAATGAATGGCCACGCCCTTTTCCAAGGGGAGATAATTATGAATTAGAGAAAAAATAATGGCATTTTTAAAAAATCTTCTTCTCAAGAACCACTGGGGCAGGAAAAATGAAACTCATGAGGAATCATCCTCAGAAAGTGTAGATTCAAGTCTGTACAAATCATGACCCCCGGGGCTAGGGTGGGGCCAAAATGGCCGATCAAAGTTTAACATAGGAATATATAGGAAAAATCTTCTTGTCAAGAACCACTGGGCCAGGAAAGATGAAACTCAAGTGGAATCATCCTCAGGTAGTGTAGATTCAAGTTTGTTCAAATCATGACCCTCAGGGCTAGGGTGGGGCCAAAATGGCCGATCAAAGTTTTACATAGAATATATAGGGAAACCTTTTAAAATCCTCTTTTCAAGTACTTCAAATCCATGCTAGGTGATATTTATATGGAATCATCCTCAGGTAGTGTAGATTCTAGTTTGTTCAAACCCTGACCCTCTGGGAGGTTAAAATTCAAGCCCCCCCCCCCCCCCAAACTGGGTAAACTTTCAGTTCTGATCTGATATGTGCTTTTTCATAGCAAATTGCTTAGGTGAGTGATGTGGCCCCTGGGCCTCTTGTTGTTTAAGCTTACAAAAGCTTCAGTACGTTGCTGTGTTTTAGATTTAGTAATATCTAAACAAATCGACCAATCAGATATTCAATATTTTGTCTAATATATTCATTTTGGTACAAACCATCTCTCAAGTACACATACAAATACATGGGTACAACATTTAGGGACTGTAATTTTACAAGGATGATAAATGCACTGCCAATTTTTAGGTCACCTGAGTAAACTCCGATGACCTACTGCTATCTGTTTTTGTCCGTCGTCGTGCGTTGTGTGTTAACGTTTGAACATTTTTAGCTTCTTCTCTGAAACCACTCAACCAATTTCAACCAAACTTGACATATAGCATCTATAGGTGAAGGGGAACAAAAATTTTGAATTTCATGGTCCCTGCCCCCCCCCCCCCCCCCCCCCCCCCCCCCCCCCCTTGGGCCTAGGGGGTGGGGCAAAAATCACCAAAATTAGTGCAATCTTTAAAAATCTTCTTCTTTACTTCTGGACATCAAGCAGTCAAACTGTTGATATGATTGTAATCAGTGTTGAATCCTCTACCAAAGGCTAAATAGGTTATATAGTGAAAATGCATTATTTCTTTGAAATTCTTCTTTTCTGCTCCTGGGCATTAAATAAACTAACCAAGTGCATAGTTATTTTGAATAAGACTGCTTCTTCTCATATTGGGAATTTAATGTCCACAGGGTCAGGGGTTCTAGTGGTAGGGTGGGGCTATATAGATTATATAGTGAAAATGCAAAAATTCTTTGAAATTCTTCTTCTCTGTTCCTGGGCATTAAATAAACTAACCAAGTGCATAGCTATGCTAAATAAGGCTGCCTCTTCCAAAACTGTGAATTTCATGGCCCCAGGGTCAGTGTGCTAGGGCGGGGCTATATAGATTATATAGTAAAAAATTAATTATTTCTTTGAAAATCTTCTTCTTTGCTTCTGAGTGTTAAATAAACTAACCAAGTACATAGTTATGTTGAATAAGGCTACCTCTTCCAAAATTGTGAATTTCTTGGCCCCTAGGTTGGGAGTTCTGGTATTAGAGCGGGGCTTTATCGATTATATAGTGAAAATGCATAAATTCTTTAAAACTCTTCTTTTCTGCACCTGAGTATTTAACCAATGAACTGTGTACATAGTTATGAGGAGGAAGGATGCCTCTTTGAGATTTTTGAATTTCAGGGTCCCTGGGTTAGGGCTTAAATTCTTGTGTTAGGGCGTAACTCTAATGTTTATATAATGAAAATGCATGAATTCTTTGAAAATCTTTTCCTTTGTTGTTGGGTATACTAGTAATGCTAATGATCATAGTATATATTTATGACAAAAAACTTCTTACAAAAACGGTTAATTTCCTGGCCCCTAGGTCAGAGGTACTTTGGGAGGGGGGGGGGGCATAGTCTGAAATAATTTAATGCTTTGAAATCTGCACTTATTAATCAACAGCATGATGAAATAAAATTTCAACAAATTTCCAAAATTTTAAAGATGTGGCCCCAGGGTCAGTGGTTCCTGTGGGATGGGGAGCTCAACTGTGGACCCGTCCTAACACAAGAAGCCCTGACTAGGGGCCCTGAAATTCACTAAAAGTGGAGATGCATATTCTCTTTGTTACTCTGATCTACCTCTGGGTATAAAGTAACCAAACTAAGCATGCTGAGTGTATAATTATGATAAGCAATGGTGTCTCTTTCAAAATTGTGAATTTCATGGCCTCTAGTTTAAAACATGAATCAAATTCAATTGTTGGAAAGTTGTTGCATGATACTCAGGTGACCTATAAGGCCCATGGGCCTCTTGTTTTGTTTTTTTTTTTTTTTTAGTTTAGTGATGCAGATATGATGTTATTTCTTTGATGCCAATGAAATAGAATATTCCATGGAAAGCCATGAAAAAGGAAAAAGAAATCATAATCAAGATATCTACATATTAAATTGGCATGGCAGATCTATCGGCTGTGAATTTGCGTCTATGTGACGCTAGGTTCACATAGGGACATCGAGATGTCATTGTTTTATCTCGATATTTCTTAGCATTGCAATTTATATCTGCCCTTAGCGGGCGTATAAAATATAATTAATTATTGACTTCTCAGCTGGATGTTGATTTGAAGCTGT